TTTTGTCACGGTGTTTTGGATTCCATGTGGATGATGATGATAGAACAGCACAGAGCCATTGTACTGCAATATGAAACTCCCACACACACCTCCTCACATTGCATCTTAATTTGGAAAGTCTGTCATTTTTGACTGACTGCATTAAGCAGAAAGAGCACAAAATGAGCACGTAGTACAAGCATTTGCTTAAGCTCTTCACTTAGGTGCTGTACTCTCATCACACATTATAACTTAAGATGTGAAAGATGTGATCTTTATGGCTGGTGCAAGGTTACCCGTATTTTTGTATGAATCATCATACCTCAGTGTTGTCTGGGAGCGAGTGTTTCCATGTGATTCTGATTGTTTTAGCACTGCACCACACCCTTGAGACCACACTACAAAAAGACAGCTCGGTATCTGCATATATCGCAGATATTGCATCACATTCAGATGTTGTTGGAACGGCTAATTCACTGAACAATGCATTGCAACAGCACGCAGCAGCTATTAACAGAGATTTATGTTTTTTACAGAAAGTACTGTACAAATTCTTGTCAACATTTTATGCAAGATGAGCTTCTGTGTCAAAGTATAAAAACAGTGAGGTTAACATTTCTTCAATTTCAAAGGGACCATTGATGTAAAATAGGATGAAACCAATTATTTTTCTTATGGAGTACGGTTCCAAATGCCATAGTGGACTCTGTATATAAACACTGTAGTGAACTGAAGCAGGAATTGGATCAAACCAGCCCAAAACACAGATCATTCCTTTATGTCTAGCAGACAGTGGGAACTCCAGCAGCATTGTATATATTTTTCATGGTAAATCTCTTTATATCATGCAGTTGTTGTCTGGAAGTGACTGTGACTGCGCTGTACATTTGTAAGTAATGCCCGGTGCTTTGAGTGGCTGTGAATTTAGTTAAAGGGAGAGACACTTGAAAAAGAATTAAGAGCATCTGAAATGATGCTTTTAACGGTTTTGAGGTGGACATTTTCATCAAGGGAGGCACTTTTACATTTGAGGAGTGATTTTTTTTTCTTTGTTTATATTTGGTGGCAATCCTGTTGGCATGACCTAATTGAAAAAGTTGTGCCAAAATGCAGCAGAAATACAGCACTTTTATTCATTTCGAGTAGTGTGACTCACTGTGCCAGTTGTCGTCTTAGATGAAGCTATTGTGAGTTTATAAACTGTCCTCCAAGACCTTGGCACGTCCCACAGGATAACTATGAAGCTGCCAGTCATGGTTTCATATTGTACAGTCCAATCTCATGTATGAAAACAAAGCTTTCTTGTCCAATGTGGTTGGTGACTTTAAGAAAAAAAAGTTTTTTTCATTTTATCTTTTTGGGCCGCATAAGTCTTCTTTATCTTCTCTCTCTTTTTTTTGCACAAAAACAAAGAAAAGGAGCTGCGGCTTCTCTGTTGTCCAGTTTGAATCTGTGAGAGGTTCACTGATGCACCCAGAAGTGATTCTCTGGATGCTATATGACTGGGTATCCCAAAAAAATTTGATTTTAATGCCAGTTCACTGAAATAATCTGTTAGTCAATCAATACTTTTTTTTTGCCAAATCATTGTATTTTGCCAAATGTTGTGTTTTACTGTATATGTCTGATAGTGTCAAAATGAAAATAAAGATATGGACAAATGAGCAAACATTTGTAAAGTGTACTGTAGTATTTCTTTATTTTTGTTTTTTAAAGAGATGCCTGATGTGTATTACATGACATAGGCTGGATTATGCTGAAACTGTCTGGAAAAAACATGTATGATGCTTGCTTTTAAACATTTTATACAAGTTTATATATAAGTGGATTTATATATAAACTTGGCTAGCCAACATAGCTTAGCATAATGGCTGAAAACAGGACAACTCTGAGCTGAGCTGTACAAAAAGCAGAACAGCCATTTTAAAATGGCTGTTTAATAACCATACATTGGTTTCCCCTGTAACTATGCTATGCTATGCTATGCTATGCTA